GGGCAGAATATACAGGGAGCCTGCGGGCTAGAGGCCCCCCTGAAGCTGGGCAGCCTAGGTGAGTCTTAGAGAGTTTAGGGACAACATCAAACCTGAGTCAGGTGCCTTGTTCCTGATACGTTGCTTTATGTTGCTAGTCCCCATATCAGCTCCTCAATGACTTCTCCACTGACTCCCCCCTGCTCTCCTCTCTTTGTAGAGGGGGCCAATATTTGAGGAGTGCAAGATTTTGAGGCATTGGAGCTAAGACTGGAAACTAGAAAGAGGTCCAAGTGAGGAATTAAATGCCTACTCATGGCCTGTGGCATATGTTTGTCAAGGGAAAGGAGGAGGGAATAGTGATGACCAGAAAGGTCAAGGGAGCCCTCCTTGCAAATGCCTCCTACAGATTCTGATAAAGCATTTATAAACCAAGCCAAATGCTACAAAGAGACATGTTCCCAATGTAATGGGTTCAATGAGCTGGGGTAACATCGATGTCATACTTGCTTGAGTTGTTTCCATCATCTTCCCAGAATGTGCCCAGAGCAATAACCATTACAACAACTTCATCGAAACAGGAGTGCCCCGGAGTGCTCCACCCTCCACTTTAAAGGTTAGGCTTTGTGTATTAGCATTCATTCCTAACACTAAAACTCCCTCCTTGTGTATAAGATGTTTAGGCTCTAACATAATTGGTTTGCATTTAAATGCCCAAATATGATTATATAATCTTGATTCAATTAACAGGTCTGACTTGATTCAAGCCTTGCTCAAGAATGAGCCAAATAGTCATCTAAATAATAATTAGAACAAGACAAACCAGTCTTGCTGGTCTCCAATATTGGGGATTGAAGGAACTTCCAAGTCATCAGATAGAGCTGATGGATCTAGACCCCCAACCCCAAGACTGTGCTCACTCATCTTTGAGCTACTAGGCTGTGGGTCTGGGGTTCATTCACAGTGGCCAGAGGGGGCTCTGATAATTGCTTCCTCTTTCCAACTTAGCAATGATAATATGGAGTCTAGGTGAGGCGGTGTTGCTGGCTCAGGTTTGGTTTGTTCCATGAGCTGAAAACAGAGCCAGGACTTAGGTTCAGCACAAAGAGCTGTGAGTTTATCTGATTTAACCTTCCACCCGGTTGACGAACCCATGACTGTCATCACACCACTGCTTGGCCTCTGTCCACACAATAAGCCCACTACCTCCACAAGTATTAGATGGATCCAACTATAATAAACTCTTCATTGTTTTTATTCCAAAACCCTTTTCTGTAACTTTCATCCAAAGACCATTTTGTTCTTAGGCCTCCCAATGTCATTTTTTAATTTCCTCAACTCCACTCCTTCAAAATAAATTCTAGTTCTCAAAAAGTTTGCTGTGCTGAGGTATGTTGACCATCAGCTTAGACTCATGGTTTCTTATGAAACCAAATCACGGGCTTTGCCTTGACTTTTGAATGCTTCAGCTAACCCCACCCCCACTGAACACCACCACAACCCCAGACCTGGCAGGATCAGAGGAATTAAGCAAGCCAGCATATTGTTGTGCAAAGTCATTCTGAAGACGAGAACAAAATTAGAGAGGAAAATGAAATAATTAGAGCTTTTGTCAATATAGTGACACAAGTTGGTGGGAGAATCTGAATTTTTTTAACCTGACTAAATTTTTGTATCAAACTGACAGTGTCATTTATGGTTCATAATGATATTGTTTGATTTTCACAATAGACCTGGATCCCATTGAGGACCAGTTTGCAGAAGGGGAAGCCAGATAGCCCAGTATCTTGATTAGACATGAACAGGTTAGAAGTAATCACAGTTTACACAATGCATGGCACTGGGATGCTATGCTATAGGGAGCTATGTACCTGCCTGTCTTTGCCCTAGACTGTGAGGTCCTTGGAGGCAGGAAGTATGTCCCCTTCTTCACTGTGCCTTCAGGGTTGGCACAGGTGGATTCTCAGCAAATGCTTGTTAGATAAATTGATTCACAAAAGGTTTTCACTTTCTGATATTTTATTAGTTTAGAGGAATTATTCAGGGGTGTATTCCGACTTTAATCACAAACTGTGCATCTCAGCACACCTGTATTCATTCATAAGTGAACACATCCTCTACTGAAAATCTCAATGTCTAGATCAGGAAAAAAATTTACAAGAGAATTACTTCTAAAAAGGATTGGGCCCTAGCTGGTTTGGCTCAGTGGATAGAGCATTGGCCTGCGGATTAAAGGGTATCAGATTGGATTCTGGCCAAGGGCACATGCCTGGGTTGTGGGCTTGATAACCCCCAGTAGGGGGCATGCAGGAGACAGCCAGCCAATCAATGATTCTCATCATTAACGTTTCTATCTCTCTCCCTTCCTCTCTGAAATATATATATATATATATACTCATATCACTGAGATATATATATATATATA